ATATCAGTTTGAAACTAAAGTCAAAACCATTAGAACTGATAACGGAGGGGAGTTCAACATGACTGATTTTTACTCTAAAAAGGTGATAATACATCAAAGAGCTTGTGTTGAAACACCTGAACAGAATGCGGTAGTAGAACGAAAACATTAACATATTTTGAATGTGGCAAGAGCTTTACAATTTCAAAGTAGACTTCCTCTGAAATTCTGGAATGATTTTGTACTGACTACGGTATATTTAATAAATAGAACACCAACTCTCGTTTTAAACAATCGAAGTCCTTTTGAAATGTTATTCAAAAACAAGCCTAAGTATGGCCATTTGAAAGTTTTTGGCTGCCTAGCCTTTGCTACCACCCTTGTAGGTGGTAGACACAAATTTGATCATAGATCTAGGGAGTGTGTCTTTATTGGCTATCCTTTTGCAGTAAAAGGATATAGGTTGCTGGATTTAAAAACAAATAAGGTTTTCATCTCAAGAAATGTTAACTTTCATGAAAGTATTTTTCCCTTTAGAAACATAGGTCCTAACAAAAATACAGCCTTGACTGACTTCAATCATCTCAGCTTTACACAAAACCCTGTCATTAACAATGATTCCACTACCCGTTCATTTGATAACACCAAATATAATGGTGAACATGATTTTATAAATCATTCAGAATCCTTCAATTCTCATGAAAACACAAATCAGAACATTGATCAACCAGTTACTGATCAATCAGTCATTGATATCATAGAATCAAATACATCAGTCACCAGCTATTTACCTCGCAGGTCCAACAGAATTCGAAAAGCTCCTTCTCACTTGTAGGATTTCATGTGTCAACAGGCATCTTCACCTCCCTCACTCCAGAAACTCAACAGCAAGAAGGAAACTGAAGTTACAGGTAATGTTTTTCCCCTTACTGATAGCATTTCCTATGATAAACTATCCACTCATCACCGTGCCTTTGCCACTTCAATAATAAGTCACACAGAGCCTAAAACCTATCAAGAAGCCTTATCCTCTCCTGAATGGTGTGCTGCCATGAAAGCTGAAATTGAGGCCCTCGAACTTAATGATACTTGGACCTTGGCCAAACTACCTTCTGGTAAAGAAGCAATAGGGTGTAAATGGGTTTACAAGGTGAAATTCAATGCAAATGGCGGTGTTGAGAGATTCAAAGCACGATTAGTAGCTAAAGGATACACGCAACAAGAGGGGCTTGATTACCACGAGACATTCTCCCCTGTGGCGAAGTTGATTACCATCAGAACTTTACTTGCGGTTGCAGCCACCAAGGGATGGAACTTGTGTCAATTTGACGTGC